CGTCAATCGCAGTTATTTCGAAAGATTTTCGGTATGCAAAATCTTTCGCAATATTTCGCATATTTATTCTGCTGATGTACTTAACCGGATCGGCCGAAAAATCATTCGGCTAATTTTTGCCAGGTCCCAGAATTTATGATAACATCTGTAAAATTTTTTTTAAAAAAAAATTTAAAATCCGGGTCGGCGGGTCAAGAGAAATCAGTTGATGATGAGAAAACCGAAAATATAAGTTTGTATGGCCTTAGGCTAATGCTACCTATAATTTTAGTAATTTTTTTTTTGAACTAAATAATTAATTAAACATAAGTATATTTTATTTTTGATAAATTTCTAATTATTTCGGTTTACAAAATTTCCGTTCCTGGCTTTCACGATGATGCCACGCAGCTATCGAGTTATATGATGACAATGTGGTAATGGGTGCAAAAATCTTTAAATAATTAAGGTAAATAGTATATGAAAAATTTTTTTTTCAGGGATTTAGCATTAAGCATATAACAGTTAATAAAGAAAAAACTATTTAGTATTTTATTTTATTTTTATTTTTTATACCAGCTAGCATCTATTTATTTTACAATTAAATTAACTGATTCCAGAATGACATATGTTATTCTTGGATTCACAAATAATTACATATCGATTCCGAATTTATAGGAATCAATAACATTAATACAAAATAAATTAAATTAAAAATAAGACAAAATTAAACTTGGTACTAAGAATAATAGTAATGCCTGTATTTATGAGCTAGTCTAAGCGAAAGAGTTAGTAAAAGCATGAAAACTAGAAGCATAACGGCTATTACGATTTCAGTGCCAAAAGGAGGTGAGATGAAAAACGCATGCGAGTTTTTTACCCAAAGAAGTGCACCTATATACTGTGGACCATCCTTTACATTATCTATATTTACATTAGCGACAAAGTTATACCAGTCAGGAATAAATTCTGCGTAAAATGCCCAAGGTCCATATAAAGTAGTTGTGGTTGTATTATCATATGTACCGTCTACTCTTGTTGCAATTTTATTATCATCAATATTTATTACATACATCATTGTGTTAGCAAGCTTAACCATAACATCATTACTAACATTTAATTTATCTTTTCGTTGCCATGCCCTATACATGCCCCAAATATCATACATTGCATTAGTACTAATCTCTTCTATAGAGTTAGATACCTCAGAATTAGTCCATATATATACGTCTCGACCATTATTAGATTTAACTGGGATAAAGTTGCTGACCATCCAATCAATAGAAACCTGTATAATATTAAAATATTTATTAACCCGAGCTTCATCATCTCCAATAATTTCATGACATTCTGCCATTCTTAAAAATCCATTTGCCATCATTTGCTGTCGATTCCAAGGCATTGGAGAATTTGCTGGCATTTCATTAAGATTCGTCCATGCTGAAGAATTTGGATTATAAATTCTCGAATCATCCTCACGAATGAAATACTTTAAATAATACGTATCAATAGTTTTGTCCATTTCAGTTACATATGTCAACGCACGCTCTTTATATGTTTTACCATATTTATAAGGATCATTATCTGTAACATTTTTGTTCCAAAGGCAAGGTGTTTTAAGGATTTGGTAAGCCGTGTATGCTATATGCCCAACTGTATCAAGTCCTTCGGAGCCGGCGTAACCAGAGGTGGTTTCATTATTAGGTTTTGTACACCAGATAAGCTCTCTTTGTCCTGTCCACATAATTCGTCCATTTACGGGATCATTTCGGAGTGACAAAAAAGTATCAGAATAAGTTATCATTCTATCAAGTATTTGAGTGTTTTGAGTAATTTCATATACTAAAGCTAAAGCTTCTACATCTTGACCTGCTTGCCCATTCGCTATTTGATTATACAGAGCAGTTGTAGGTATTCTAGAAGGCAGTCCTAGAAAACCAATAAATGAATCAATTTCGCTCTGGGTAACGGGACCTGAACTATCAAATAACATACTGTTGCTACTAGGATGTATTAATGATAATGATGGTATTAATGATGGTCCGGGTTGACATGTCTGTGTATATACTTTATGGTAAGAATCAATTAAAATAAAATATATTAAAATTATTATATAATTCATTTTCTGAGATCAAAAAAAAAAAATTCTTTTTGAGACTTTTCAAAACTTTCAAGCGATAAATTTATTATAAGAATGAAATGAACTTATTAAATGATATTTTAAATTGTAAATAAATATCATTATTAGTTTAAACATGGTAATCTTGTCTTCAAATCAATGAATAATGTCAGATAAAATCAAAATTAAACCAATTTTAAGCTTAGTATGTTTGAGAACTAATATCTCAAGATTTATCAGGTCAATTTCGATATTACATTATTAGAATCAGATATTTAAAGTTTTAATGTCAAATTTTAATATTTTCAACTAATTTGTTAGCACTAATTAGGATGATTTTCTATTCATTCATTTTTTTTAAGTGATTAAACCGATCGTCACGTCGATAACCTGATAATGGCATGGTAAAGATTTTCTTAACGGTGTTATTATCGATTTTGGAAAGTCCGCATATGCAAGCATCAACAAATAATGATAACGCATGAGACAAATGATTGGATGACTCGTCACGTGCAGCTAATCATTTGTCCGGTTGAAGTTATTTATCAACACTTCGTCCGTTATCTAGCAATTGATAATCATGATTCACAAGGCATCATTAGCCCACCTAGTATCGGCACCAAAATTAGGTACGCACGTATGCAAGCCCTGCTTATGATTCAATCTGTGCGAAATGGTAGCCAGATCATTTTCCGGACAATGGTGCTAGTGATATAAATATACTGTATGTATTAAAGATAACATTGATCTCTCAATTTTGAGTGTATAAGAATTTGAATCACTATTACTATTTTTTTTCTTTTTTTTCTTTTCTTTTTTTTACTCTATAAAAAGATAGTATGTATGTCGTGCTTGAAGTTAAAATTTTATTTCACTGAAGCTCATTTTACTGCCAAATTTTTTTATAAATTACACTAACATTAATTCTGATTTTAACTTGAACTAACGACATTGGGCAGAACTATTTTGTAGGCGGTGAAATGAACTTGTCGGTCAAATAAATAAAACATGTCGGCGAATTGTTTTCGATAAAATGTTATGCCTACAAAATGAGTATCGGTGAATAAGGACAGTTATTACAATTTAGCCACAACCGGATAATAGATGCTATATTCTTAATTTAGTAACTAAGCGCTTGAAATGCTTAAAGGGAGGTGGAGATGAGTGTAGTGTATAGTAAAACTTCCATAAGTGCAAGCCCTTGGGACTGAACTTTAACAACATGTACTTAGTGAATAATATGAAAATGTACATTTATAAAGGTCATGAATATATAGTGAAACCTTCATAAGTGTACCTTCTATAAGTGCACATTCTTTTTGAATGTATGCTTAAATCTATACATGATTTTCACAAATGCACTTTTTCTTATTGTTCTTTAAGTGCATGTCATTAAAGTTCAGGTCCAAAAATGTGTACTTATGAAGGTTTTACTGTATTTGGGCCCAAATTTAAGCATGCACCTAGAGGGTCCGTTTATGAAGAACTTATCATATTTAATTGTACAGTAAACTTCATAAGTGCACACTCTTGGGACTGAACTTTAATTAGCACATTTTAGAGAACAATAAGAAAAAGTGCATTTATATATACTTAAGTTTGAACTTAAATATGCATTTAAAGAAGGTGTGCATTTATAAAGAATGCACTTATAAAGGTTTACTGTATTATCTAATTGCACATTAGTAAAGTTTGGTCCTGAGAGTATGCACTTATAGAGGTTTTACTATAATAAAAAAATCAGGATTATATACTTGAATTAATAAAAAAATTCTTAATAATTTAGATTATGAAATTTTACTGTTATTTTTATGCATACTTATAAACTGGTATTGGTGTAAGATAACAATTCCAATTCTTTGAAAATGTTTATTTATAGTTACTAATTCTTCAATGTTTATATCTAAATACTTTTTATTTTTTAAAGAGAATAAAAAGTTTATTTCAAAAGAATATGAAATAAAGACTAATTTTCTTATATAAAAGATTTTAATTTTTTTTTAATTTACATAGTCTAAGTATTAATGCCTAAAGATAGGTTTACGTAAAACTTTTCAACTTGGAAGAAGAACTAATTGAGTTAGAAAATTACATAATCAATTTATTTTTAGAATATTAATTGAGAGTAGTGTTACTTTATTTAGATTAAAATTATATTATACCAAGATCTTTTACTTATTAGAACAAAATAAATATTTTTTTTAACCTTATAATCTTGATGTAAAAGTAAAAATGTATCTTATATTAAAATGCTATTTCATAATTAAAAATCTTGAAAAACAGCTTTACAAAAATTAAAAACATAAGAATTAAATATTAATATAGTTATAAACTTCAAATATCTCAAGAATATATATGTATTAAGAGTGATGTTGGTCCAATGGGTCTAATACATAATTAATTATTTGATTATATTTATAAAAGCATTTATATTAAAATTTAACTAGTGTTGAATAAATATTTAATAATATATTATTATTTATTAGATTAAATTTTAATTTTTTCTGTCTAATGTACAATAGAGATGTAAGTATATTGTTTAATATATTAGACCTTACTATTAATATTAAGAATTCTGCAATCTAATTAAGTTAGATTTTTTTAAAGCAATTTAATTCTATATAATAAAGGAATGTATTAGATTTAAGCAAGAAAAGTAGAATATATGTATTTCGCAAGGATCTAAGCAAGAAAAATAGAATTTATGTATTTTGCAAGAACTTAAACATATTTCTGTAGTAGAATTAGAAGTATTAGTAGGTATTTTTATAAAAATGTTAAAATAAGTAGTGTGGAGTATATTTGATTGATTAGAAGAAAAGTATTAATATATATACTGTGCAAAATATAATACTAATTTATCTAAATTTGGAGAAATAAAATTAGATTAGAGGGAAAGATGTAGATTTGAAGTGTTTTTAAGATTGTTTTTCAATGTATCTAGTAGTAAACAAGATTGTGGTCAAACACCATAATTAATTGAGGTATTCTTATATTAATAAACATTACTCAATGATAAAAAAAGATGATTTAGTTTAACTTTTTTTTTGTTGTGATAACAAGCTTACTTGATTGTTCAAACTAAATTCTGTTAATTTAAAAAGTAAACATTGATTTATTAATCAAGATGCCTGAGAGCAGCCTTAGCTCGTAAGAAAAACAATATGAAACAATGAAAATTATGTCACTTGAGAATTGGTAATAATAATATATTCAATGTGATATAATTCTGTAATAATAATCTGATCTGAAATATTTAAATTTTAATGTTATAATATAATCAAAGGAAGGTAACTATGCATAATAATGCAAGAGGTGAAATTTAGAATTTTAGCTTAATCTGGGTTGTGATTCAAAATATCAGCTCAGATGTTATTAGGTATAAATATAATAAAAACTATTATTTTATTATATGTGAGATTAAAATATGGATACTCTAAAAAAGAATATGTTAAAAAAGGACATGCTACTAGATTAATATTATTATAAAAATAAAGATAAATTATTGTTTATCTGAAAAAATAACTGTTAATAATAATATAAATTAGAAAAATTTTTAAAATATAGTAACATCTTAAGACTAGTAATTTAGATTATCCATTCTTTTTGCACATTCATTTAAATAGTTGAGTTCTATATTAAGAGGTGAAGGCAATTTCATATCTAATATAGATTCATTAAAAGGTCATAGAATCAGTAGGTCATCCAATTTTTGTATTCAAAAAAGCATCACATATGCACTATTATATGTACTATTATTCAATAAGTCAACAATTGTTTTTCCTAAAGTACAGCCTTGAGATTTAAAATCTGTAAAAGCATAAGCTGAAGTTAAGAGGAGTTAAAATCGTTAAAATCTTTTTTGCATTTTAGTTTTTTTAAGTTTTTGGGTAATATATATACAATCTCATTTTATCAGTTGTATGGGTATATTTTTAGAAGGCAATTCTTCATATCTATTCGATTTTAGATCAATTGGTTCTATAATAATGTATGTAGAAGGTCTTTTAAGTATGATTAACTTTTTTTCTAATGAAAATAATTCAATAGAATCTTTATCAATAATTATTTGTTTGATTATTTCTTTAGCACCATTTGCTAAGCCATCACAAATGCAAATATTGACAGTCAAAATAACTGGTATTCTGATAGTAAGAGGCAAAATTCCAGAGAATGTGTTTTTTTTGTATCAGATACTGATAAAAATTTCTTATATATGGATCTAGTTAAAAGTTTTTAGCAATAAGTATCTTTAGAGCAGAAATATATAAGTTATTGCTTTCTGTTTTGAGCATATTCTATTGTGAATTCAATATTTAATTGAATGTATAAATTATTCCTTGTGACTAAAAAGGTAGCATTTTTCTACTCATCATTTTTTATTCTATCATCATTAATTTTCTTGACTGTAATGCTTCTTACTATTGCTTATTTAGGGTTCTAGTGTATAAACTGTTCAAAATGTTCACATAAAAAGGATCATTTATCTAATAGATTGATTTTTTTAAATGTATAACATTTTTTATATTAAGCCATAAATTTCTTTCTATAGCATTCATTACTGAATGATTATTAATTAAAGGCTTATATAAAGCATGCTTATGTTTTTTAAAATCTAAATCTAGCTCTATATCATTAACAGCTTGAAATTTCTTAGATAAATTAATATTTGAAACTTTACTTGGCATATATAATGCAGAATTAAGAACTAGTGGTAATTGCATAAAATTGTCAGAAAAAAGAATGTTCAGTTTAGCAAAAGGGGTGGATATGTTAGAAGATTTAACAACTTTTAAAAATATATGAAAACGAGTAAGTAGATATTGTCTAATCATAGAGACTTTATTTATAATAACATATTGTATTTTATTCCAAAAGTCTTGTAATTTGTGCAAAGTGTCACTTGTCAAGTTATTATTATTGCAAGTTCCTTCAATTCCAAATCCACAAGTAGAGTGGATAATATATCTGTTTATATTCAATGCAGCAATACCAGTTGATACAAGAACAATAATAAAGTCTCTTTAACAAGTAAAATTGAAGTAAGAACAAATAGCATGTATTACTTTCAATTTTTCAACACTACCTGCCCTGGTTAGATATAATAATAATTGAGTTGGGTTATTATCATAGTTAGATTGATTCCTTTAATAGTGGTCACAAACAAGAAAGTAAGCTTTTTATTGTTCATTATTTAATCCTATTGTACATTGATTTAGATAATCCATATTGTTATTTATTATTGCATCAGAATATAAATTGTGGGTATTTTTTGAACAATATTGATCAAAGCAATTTTTATCAGAATCATTAAGAGCATGATTCTAAGATATTATTTTTTGAGTCAATATCATAATTTGCCAAGTTTTAAGAAGGTAAATATCTTGATCATTACTTAAGCAAATTTCATTTTTTCTAGTTAAATCATAATTTATAATAGATTCAGGCATAATATTTAAAGAAATATTTGTTTTAAAAAAAATAGAATGCTGATTTGAAAGGAATCTACCTCTTATGCATAAAAAATTTATTGCAATATTTACTATTTGTACATCTTTTAAACCTGATCTAATAATATCAATCAGATTTAGTTGTATAGTAGAATTTTCCTATAAAAAATCTGTAATTTTATCATTATTAGCAAAAAAATCTATATTAATATCATCAAGATCAAATTTGGCTAGTAAACAATCAATTCGTTGAACTTTTGCATATATTGGATTATTCTTTACTTTTTGTTATAATTTATGATCTAAAGCAGTTTCTTCTGCATATTTATATATTAATTCTATATTGTTAAAAATTGTTTTTAATCTTAGAGACAAAGAAGAATTGGCCAAAAATAATCAACAGGCTTCTGTCTATAGACTATGATTTTCTTGAAGATCACAAACATTTTTTCATAGCTTAAAAAGAAGGAAAATATATAATCTATAACATTCAGTATTTTTAATATCATCTTTTTTTGGAATTCTCTTATCACAAAGTATAATCATTCTTTCTGTTTTACATTTGCAATGTATTTGCAGATGAGTTTTACATTAAGGATATATATCAGAATGTTCATCAGTAAAATTATAATCATGAAAAAAAAAATAATCAACAAGAGCTGTTCTATTTCTTGAAGTTTGAGTTACTAGCATAGATAGGTCATGTGAACTGATTGGAATTTTATGAATTGTAGAAGTATAATCATAAAGACATATATTATGCAATAAAGAATTTCTAAACTGATAGTCAATGTAAAGGTTTGTTGCATTTAAAATCCATTAAAGGAAGAAATTAATAGAGATTCATTAATCAGATGTTGATTATTTTTAGAATTACTGTTCATCTCTAAGTTATCGAAGGATAAATCATCAGAAGCATTTTGATATTTGGCCTATTCTTTAATTAAATAATATTCAACTAATTGAATATATATATATATAAATTTGCATGAAGTATAATAACCTTTAATTTCTAATAAATAGGCAGACACTTATGAACTGGTAAATTCAGTTTGAGTTGCTGTCTTATTAAGAAACTTTACAACAAATTTGTGAGAATGATCAACTATATTGAGAGAAGTATCATTTAAAGCTTTTTTTAAAAAAGTTTTTAGTGTAGCAGAGCATAGCAAAAATGAACTATTAGTATTTAAATTGGCATTTGTAATATATTTCATAATATAATAAATATAAGCTAAAGTGAATTTTCTTGCAAAAATAAATTTTATATTATTATTTCCTTAACATGTAGCAGTAATATAAGGATTATGATTATTTATGAAAGCATTAGTGCATTGAAGGGCTATGATATCTTGATCTGAAAAAATAAAGCCAAGGGGATCAACTAGTTCTTTAGGAAAATTAAACCTACAATTTTTTTGCAGTCCATGATTGTATTTTTTATATAATCAGGTACAATGATGATATAAGGTATGTTTTGCAATTGCAAGTAAATCTAAACAGAAATTTTTATCAAAATCAGATAAATTAGGATTTGGGATAGGAAAGAAGGATGAATGCATCCACTTTTTCATTATTGTTTTAGGAGCTTTATATTCTTTTTCAAGCATTTTATCAGTCAAAATATTATTTGTATTAAGAAGGTAACTAATATCTTTTTTAATAATATTATTTAGATATAATAGCAAATGATGGCCAAATGCTTCATCATTTTTAAGTTGTTAATATAATTCAATTGGATCTAGTGTGGCATAAATCCAAACAAATAAGTGACAATGCGAAGTTCCATGATCCTGATATTCAACAACACTATAATAATTCTTTATATTCCAAAAACTCCATCTTTTTCATTATCATAGCCAATAATTGTTTCTAAAAATAGTTGTAATTATGATATCAAAATATTTTGCAACAGCAGCAGAGTTTAAATAAGCAAGTTATGCACATTCTGTAGCTGTTAAAAAATTATCTGTTAATAAGTTATCACAATCAATTTCTCTTTCAGTGTATATCATAACTAAAAGACTATGTAGATCAGCAAGATTTATTGTCATAAATAAAGAAGAAATGCTGTTATGTACTGTAATAGCAAATATTTTGTTGTGTATACACCAATGTGATTGATATAATCCCATTAACTTAGAACCAGCTGAATTTACATTCTGTGATAACTCAAGAATAGCAGGATTGGTTATACTTTGATTATTTTGTATTTGAGCAACAGCCAGTCATATGTTATTAGCTTTAATTGATGAAAGTAAATTAACAAAATGCCTAAAAGAAATACTTTTAGTCAAATTATAAGATTCTGTAGACACTTCTGTACATTATAAAACATTGAATGCAATAAATATAAATGACCAATGTTGATGAAACTTTGGATCATAATAATGCATAAAATAATCAAGATAGTCCTTTAATGTAACTTGTAGAATTCAACCTTTATGACCACCTATACCGTATGGGAAAAGAATAGGAAACTTAGCTGGGAATTGCATTGAATCTCTATACTCATTTAAAGGTTCATTATTGTGTGACATACATATAATTGGAACATGTAAATTTTTATTATAGTTTGTTTCTTGACTCATATTATTAATCAATGTTTGATTATTCAATTTACTAATAAGTTTATGAATAGAGTGTAATGTTAATTCATTTTCAGATATTGAGACATTATCTGCATGCACAAAACCAGAAGGTCTAAGCTCATATAATTTGCTAACTTTGTTATAATTGATTGTTGAATTAATCTCATTATCCATATTATTATTAAATTTACTGTAATCATCCAGAGAATCATAAACATTACTAGTATAATTTTCTACTTCTCATGAGTCAATATTTACAGAAGTAGTTGTTAATAATAATGATTTAGGAATCTCTTCTTCTGGTAAAGTGGTTAATGCATTTTTATTGAATTCAATTTGTTTAAATAAAGGATTATGTTCAAAAAGCCAATGAAGAGCAGCACTAACTTTGCTCTTTCATATCTGAAGTATTTTTTTAAGATGATCATTACTGGAAATTCCTTGTCCAACAAACACCACTTTCAAATATTCACATAATTTAAAGATTGGTAAAGGTAAAACTTTTAATAAAAAAAATAGATTTTGGGACAATGTTATAATATGATATTTTATTTTATGATGTGTATGTTTCTTTTTTGTTAATTGTATAATATTTGTGCAAGGATATTCTGATGAAATTAAAAGTTGTTCTGGAATAGTTAGATCTTGAAGACATGCTGAAGTAGAACCTATCCATATATTATTTGCTAAGAATAAGAGTGGCTGTCTATTTTTTTTTAGATGATTATAGCAGTAATTGCAAATATGTAAATTGAATAGGTTATAATTATTAAGGTCATTTTTACTTTAATAAGTATTTTTTGTATAAACAAACCTAGCATGATCAAGAAGTACTTGAAATCTAATATTGTCTATATGAGGGTGAGCATAAATAAAATTTATTTCAAAAGATGATGAAGTAAGATGAATTGGTGCTTTGATTAATGAGAGATTAATGTCTTCAATCTAAATTTCTTTAAAATTTTGGTTACAATACATCCTTGAACATATAATATATGTTAATTCTTATAAATTATTTATACTAGTCTTTTTATGAAATTTGGCCAAAACTTTTATTGCAGTATTTTTATCTATAATTTGTGGCCAATTAGAATAGTTTTTAATTAATTCAGCAAACTCCTCATCTAACTCTAAAACTCATAAAGAAATATCAGCTATATTGGCTTGTTCATCTCTTGCAAGACAATTAATTATTTTTTTAAACTTTCATTTATTATGAAAGAATTTTATATGATCTTTAGATTTGTTATTTTCTATTTTATAAAAATTCATATTTGATCTATTGGACATTTGTTATTCTTTATTTTTTCTTTTCCTAATTTCTCTTCTTGTTTCAATAATGGTCATATTAAAAGAGATATATAAACTAATAGTAAGACAGCAAAGTTTGAAGTAAAGTTTTTCAAAGATGATTAGAAAAGTAAAATAGTTCTTTATTGATAAATAGGTGAAACAGTTTCTTATTGATAGATAGGTTTATAAAATTTAAATATTCATCACTATTCTTTATGCTAAACTAATCTTAAAACTATAATTTAATATTAAATCATATGTAAGTTATCATACAGAAATAATATTTAAATCAGCTAGAATCATATTTTTATACAAAGATAACATGTATATAAAAGCAGAAAGAAGTATATTTATTAATATTCAGATAGATAATTAATATAACAATTATTATTTTATTAAGTTATTCAAAATTATGGAAGATATTAAGATAAATATATTAAATTTAAGTGATTATATAATCAAAATAATATAACATTTAAATATTATTGTTTGAAAATTTGAACTTATAGTATTTGATTCATTAACATGCATATTTCAAATCTTATTCAGCCAAATATACATACTAAAAGAATATACAATTTTTCATAATAGGAGTTTTATATTGTATTTTTCTAATTTACAATTTAGTATAGCAAAAATATTATTAAATAACTTACTCATTTTCATAATATGTTACATATTTGTCAATTAAAATTTTAGTGTAATTTATCTAATAATAATCAATATCATGCACTAAAATAATATTAAATAAATTTGAATTTAAAGGCTGATCATGCAGTGCAGACAAGATTAATATAGTTAGTTAGATCTATTAAAATAGAATTTATTCATGGCATAAAGAAGAAAAACAAATAAAGTAAGCCATTTTATTAATAATGTTAAACAGAAAATAAAACTGCTTGATATGTAAGTATTAAGGCAATATTTGTCTCAAATCAATTTAGATTGACATATGTGACATGCCTCTTTTACAGTCACATGTTCAATTAAGGTTAAGTATGAGGTAATTATTGAGTATAACTATGAAGTAATTAGTTAGTAATAGTTTAGTATAACTATAAGATAATTAGTTAGTAATTTTTAGTAAAGTATAAGTAACTATATTAATGTTTATAAGGTATGGAGGTATGATAGCCTTTCCTTTACCACAACATCATGCAGAGCAAGATTAGGCATAGTCAAATTTGAATTTAAATATGGCCTGTTAAATGACAGTTATATTTGTATACATCTGCTTCATGCCCTATCGAAACAACAGTCAAGTATATATACAGCTTCATTATGACTTGTCAGGATGATAGTCAAAATTTATACAGTTCCCTTGTGACCTGTTAGAATGACCATTAAACATTTACAGTATATAGTAAAAAAGAAAAAAAAAAGGTTAATCGTAAAGAAACTATGAGGATCACTCAATGAGCAGGAGAATAACCTGTTTGTGTTTCCTTAGTTGAACTCAAAAATAAGAGACAAATGAAACATATTTTACAAATCTTATAACAATACAAATATCAGTATGCATTTTCTAAACAGATTAAAGGGTAATGCAAGATTTGTGTATGATTATAAAAATATATTTACATTTATGATAGGCCTTAATAGAGATTTAAAATGAATACTTTTTATATAATTATTATATAAAACAATAAAAGATTTATAATTATTACCATTTATAAGTTTGGTATATCAAAATATAATATATTAATTTTTTGGTAAAATTTACAATATTGATGCATTCATATATTTAATAGCATTTAGTTCAAAATCATGTATAGAATTCAAAGCAATTTAAAAATATATACATACTGTATATATAGCAATGTACTACAGTAATTTTTAGAAATATTAAATTAAGCATATAAGATATATATAATATGATTATCTCTTAAACTGTATTTTAGGCAAATTTGATTGAAAAATTAAATTGTATTTAGTATTTTTTAAATAAAATAATAATTTATTAATGATATGGGTATACTTTGCTTATAAAATATATTCTTAAAAACATATTTTATAAACTTTATTATAAAACTTTTTTCAAAATATT